GGTCCCTGAGCAGTATCGTGATTTCAAGAAGGTTTTCTCAGAATCCGCCTCCGAACGATTACCTGCCCACCAACCTTGGGACCATGCGATTGATCTCGTACCTGGAGCACCGGCAACCATGCGTACCAAGATTTATCCCATGTCCCTAAACGAGCAGGAGGAGTTGGATCGTTTCCTAGAAGAAAACCTACGGAAAGGCTATATCGTCCCCTCAAAATCACCAATCTCATCACCGGTCTTCTTCGTAAAGAAGAAGGATGGGAAACTCCGTTTCGTACAAGACTACCGGAAACTGAATGAGTACACTGTGAAGAACCGATACCCTCTCCCATTAGTTGCTGACATCATTAGCCGACTTCAGGGAGCAAGATACTTCACGAAGTTTGATGTCCGCTGGGGTTACAATAACATACGGATTAAGAAGGGGCATGAATGGAAAGGCGCGTTTGCAACAACCCGAGGCTTGTTCGAGCCTAAGGTCATGTTCTTTGGTCTCACAAATTCCCCTGCCACGTTCCAAGCACTTATGAATGCTATATTTGCTGATCTCATTGCAGCCGGCAAGGTAGCAGTCTACCTAGATGACATCCTTATCTTCAGTAACGATCTCGAGGAACACCGACGAATGGTACGGGAAGTATTAACTCGGTTAGAAAAGCACGACCTCTACCTACGACCCGAAAAATGCGAATTTGAACAACAACAGATTGAATACCTCGGACTCATCATCTCAGAAGGGGAGGTGAGAATGGATCCGGTAAAAGTAGCGGCTGTTCGTGACTGGCCAGTCCCTACTAACCTTCGGGAACTACGAGGATTCTTGGGATTTGCAAACTTCTACCGACGCTTTATCCGGAATTTTGCCAAAATAGCACGACCTCTGAACGACCTGACGAAGAAAGACACCAGCTTTACCTGGACCGACACTCGACAGAAAGCATTTGATACCCTTCGAGAAGCCTTCATCTCCGCACCGATCCTTGCTCTATGGACACCAAACAGGCCTACTCGAATCGAGGTAGACGCATCGGGCTTTGCCACAGGAGGCGCCCTTATGCAGAAGCAAGACGACGGCCAATGGCATCCGGTAGCCTTCAGGTCGGCATCCATGCAGCCAGCGGAACGGAACTACGAAATCTACGATCGAGAAATGCTTGCCATCATTGAAGCACTGAAGGATTGGAGGAACTTTCTAGAAGGACTCCCTCAACCATTCGACATCATTACGGACCATTCGAACCTCGAATTCTGGCGCACTGCACAAGACCTCACCCGCCGACAAGCCCGATGGGCCCTCTATCTGTCACGGTTTGACTTTCATATGATCCACCGTCCTGGCAGAGTAAACACCCAAGCTGATGCTCTCTCCCGCATGGCAGTTCATCATGTATCGGACAGCGATGATAACCGGCAACAGACAGTCCTTAAACCTGGCCATTTCGTAAAAATTGCAGCTTCGATCCTACAGAACCCCTTAGAGGATCGTATCCGGAAAGCCTCAGAACGGGAAGCACAGGTATTGGAGGGTCTCAAAACAGTCAAAGAGCACGGACTACAGCGCTTGGCCAATGGGATAGCCGAATGGGAAGAGGACAATGGGTTGGTCTACTACCGAGGTCGAGTATACGTACCAGCAAACGACGACCTACGCACTGAGGTACTCCGTCAATGCCACGACCATCCAACTGCAGGACACCCCGGACTACACGGGACACTCGACTTGGTCAGTACCCATTTCTGGTGGCCTACGTTGCGCTCTTTTGTGGAAAAATACGTTGAGGGATGCGAGGTTTGTGCCCGTAAGAAGATCCAGCGACACCCACGGGCTGTAACTCAACCATTAGATGTACCATCCGGTCTATGGGAAGAGGTAGGGGTTGACCTGATAACACAGCTACCTAACTCCCAAGGCTACGATGCTGTCTTGGTTTGCACAGACCTGTATGGAAAACAAATTCACGCTATTCCTTGCACCAGCTCCATCACAGCCGAAGGCGTTGCCGATATTTACTATCGAGAGATCTTCCGTCTCCACGGTCTTCCTCTTCACTTTAAATCCGACCGCGGACCCCAGTTTGCAGCTAAACTCATGCGATCCCTTCTCGCTAGGCTAGGAATTAAATCAGATCTAACCTCCGGATACCGTCCTCAGTCTAATGGCCAAACCGAACGAGCAAATCAGGAAGTAGAGAAATACATCCGCCTCTATGTAGGACGACGACAAGACGACTGGGCAGAGCACCTTCCCATGGCGGAGTTTGTGATTAACTCACGAACTCATTCTGCTCTAGGCATGTCCCCGTTCGAGCTAACCTACGGCTACCTTCCCCTGTTCAATATCCCAGTGGGCCAACGCAGCGGTATTCCAGCTGTAGATGACCGTATACGGATTCTCCGAGAAGTGCGACAAGATGCCGGGGCTGCCTTACACCTAGGAAAGAAACAACAGAAGGAGGGATACGAACGCGGGAAGCGGAAAGCTCATCAATTTAAAGTTGGAGACCTAGTCTGGCTCAGTGCGGAGGACATTAACCTTCAGCTTTCCAGTGAAAAGTTAGGAGATCGACAGCTTGGCCCTTATCGCATTCTGGAGAAAATTGGCCCTTTAGACTACCGCCTTGACCTTCCCCTATCCCTAGATCGCCTCCATCCCGTCTTCCATGTTGATAAACTATACCCCTGGAAAGGTAACTCCATTAATGGCGAAATACCAACACCACCAGAGCCGGTATACTTAGAGGATGAAGACGAACCGGAATACGAAGTAGAGGAGATCTTAGACAGCCGGGTTCGATGGAAGAAGTTGGAATATTTGGTTAAGTGGAAAGGTTACGATGCAGGGCACAACTCTTGGGAACCCGCAGCCAACCTCAGTCGAGCGCCAAAAATTGTTCGGGCCTTTCATAAAAAACACCCAACGGCGGCAAAACCTTGACCATCGAGGACAATGGTCATAAGGAGGGGGGTAATGTCATAAAGTACGCAGCCCCTATCATTTTCCTTTTCTCACCGTCTCGACGCCTTTACTTGTACGATACATCATCCCATCACTGTCAAACCCCCATCGATTACTGATCCATCGATTACTGATCCACCTGACCCATCTTCTCCTTCTACTGGCTTCCGCCACCTTCCTTGTTCCTAAACTGTACAGTATTACATCGTTGTTTCTCGCAGACCGGATTATGTATATATAGCCAACCCTCCACAGCCTGGTCCCTTATCTTGACCTCTCTGTCATTATCTGGGACCAGGTATGTGCTTACTTATTATTACCTATGACTACGATACTCAATATATCTCTGTCATTATCTGGGACCAGCCTGCCGCCGTTCTGCTCAGTCGCTCCGCCTTGTTGCCTTATCCAGTTGCTCCGCCTCGCCGTTCTGCTTAGTCGCTCCGCTTTCCCGCTCCGTTAGTCACTCCGCCTCTGCCGCTTCGTGACAGAAGAGTCTTTGTTGGTAATCGGAAACGAACATATATTGCCGTACAGACTGAGTCTTCCCAAAACTGTAATGGTAAGCCTGAATGAACCAGCATTGTCATTGCATTGTTCTCTACTATGCGAACCCATCGTTCTGCCTTCCCGTTTTGTTGGTGAGAATAAGCGGCTGTCTTCTGGACCAAAATTCCTTTATCCTCGAAATACGTCGCAGCTTCTGAACCATGGAATTCCTTCGCACCGTCAAGCCGGATGTTTTTAACTTTGTGGGGTGACATGTGTAAGACCTGGGTCAAAATAGGTCTTAGGGTAGGTTTTGGTATGTGGAGGTTTATGTTGTAGTGTGCTAGGAGCAGGCTGGAGCTTGAAGGGAGCTACGGGAACCGTGACCGAGGACGGGAATGACCTAGTAGTGGCTGGAACGACGGGATGGTGACCCTTGAGGGATTCCTAGGAGGTCCAGGGAGGTCCCTAAGGCGTAGGGAGGTTAAGGAAGAGTGCGGGACCGTACTATATTGCGTAGTAGGAGTTGTACCCGCTAGAACGTCAATATAGGATCAAGTAGGTCGTATGTATAGATGGGTCTCGAGGTGGTAAGCTCCCGAGAAGGGATGTGCCAGGGAGGGTAGGTCCCTGGGGGCTAGGCTTGAGGATGGACGTCCTCGAGTGTGGGAGGTGGTAACGGAGAAGCAGTACGTAGTTCGACGTGAGGGGTAGCTTCGACGTTACCTAGATCGAGGTCCTGAAGCCTATAGAATAGCTAGGGAGCTCGAGGAGGTTTGGGGAGGTTAGCTCACCAAGGCGGTAGGCGTTGGGGAGCTTTAGTATTGTTCGAGGGAGCTCGGGAACTCACTCGGATTGCTTAGACGTAAAGAAAAAGCGTGTATTGGGTCGTATAGACGATCACAGAGACGATAGACAAGAGTTGAGAGAAACAGAGTTAATGAAACAGAGAGTAAAGAGAAATCCGTATGGTTAGCAGGTACAAAGGGACAGGGACTGGACCTATGCAAAAGGGTGTGTGTTCAAAATATACCAAGCTGGGGCTTCAGGACATTGCGGCGTTACTTAAATAGGTACGGGAAGTGAACAAGGGAACATCTGGAGGCATGAGGTAGCTAATCGGAGGGAGGGAGGTAATCGAGATTAATACTTAAAGGGGTTATCGGCTAGAGGGCTTTCGTACGCGTGTCGGGACGAAGGACGTTTGGGTAGTTGCGTCAGAAATACTTGGGGAGGTGTCTGGTGGTACTTGGGGAGGTGCGGAGGACATACAGGAGGTGGGTAGGACGTATGGCAACGTGTGGTGGTTACTGGGACTGGTCTGGTTGTAGCCAGGGCATGACAACATGATGTTCTCCCAGGTTGAAACCGTCGACTTGATGATACGTAGAGCTTGATTTTTCTTCGCGAAACAGCCACCGGACAAAGCACTTGTGTAGTCATCTAGGATAATATTGAAATGCGAGTTCTGGTGGTTCGAAAGAGTGCCGATGGGCCCACAAGTGTCCGTATGAATCAGTTCGAGTGGTTTAGAGGCCCGATTGCCATGATAGGGATATGGGAAATGAGGGTGTTTACCCTTGAGACAAGAGTCACAAATTCCCCGCATTTTTGTACCGTTCCATTCTTCTAGTCCCTCAGCAGAAGTTCCCGTTAGAAGTTCATTAGTGAGGTCAATACCAGGATGTCCGAAGCACTCATGAAATAGAGCGCCATTTGGAATACGTGGGAGGAAAACAGGCATTGCAATATGTATGAAGTCGGGGATTTCTTCTTTGGGTAGTAAGAATTTGCCTCGTAAAACGCACAATGGTCGAACGACATCTGCGATTGCAAAATGGTCAGGATCCGGATGTATTTGAACCGTTTGTGGGGATATTGTGAATGTAAATCCGTGTTCAAGCATTGCACCCACAGAAAGAAGATTCACTGGTGCGTCGGGAGCATATAAACAGTCGTGCATTTCCAATATTAGGTGGTCATTCGTTCCATCTATTTGCAGTTCGAAGTAGCAGGTTCCTGAAGCCTTGGTAGTTAAAATACCTGAATTAGCTGTCTGTACAGCAAGAGCGCCATCTTCATCGAAAGTAAAGAAAAAATTTCGGTCGTTAATGATGTGATTCGTGCATGCTGAGTCTAATAGTGTTTGGGTCTTCTGAGGAATGGATGAAAATGCAACTGGGTTATCGTCCTCCAAGTGGTTTATCGGCACAGGGGAACTTGGGAATGAGGATAGTAAGGCCGCAAATGGTTTAAGACGTCGCGCAGGATACGTGGAGCGAACAGTTGTATTAGCAGTCGAGATAACACTAGGTACAGGATTTACATTATCCACAGTTTCAACTTTGGAATTAGTGTTCGAAGTGGGAGAAGTAGTGGTCGTAACATAAGCTGATGGTTTACTATTGAGCTTGGCATTCGGTGAGTCCTTCGGTTTCTGTTGTTCTGGTGGTTTGTCTGAAGTTCCGCCAGTCCCATTCCGTTGGAAACGACGATTGTATGCCCCACCCCCAGAATCGGCAAGGTCAAGAAGTTCCCTGTTGCGCGTGTTCTCCAAACGGATGGCAAATTTATCAAATAGATCCCTGTTTGGTACAATTCCTGGTCGGTCGAAATCCTCTTCAAGTGTTTGTTTGAGGTAAACATAACGAGGACCCGAAGGTAATTTTGAGATATATTTTGAGATTAGAGTATCCCAAGGGATATCGTAGCCGTAGTTCCGTAGTGTAGTAAGCGTTGAACTCCATTTGAGATTGAATTTCTCGACGTCCATTCCGTGGATCTGAGAATTAAGCAGTTCATCCTGAATTCGTAAACAAGCTTTCCTATCGGGAGCAGCTTGGTATGCTGCTTTAAGAGGAAGGTATATCTGTCTCGCAGTTCGACGTTCGCCTCGGTCATCGATCATCAGTGGAAGGTGGTTACGTGCCTCATCTGATAAATGTGCTGTGAGGATCGACGAAGTCCAACCATCATTCTTATCCCATTTGAGACGGGCCTCGACTTCCCTTCACGTTGGTTGAGATGAGACCGTAGGTCGGATTAATGGGGTGTTCCATTCCGTCCAAGGAGTACCAGGAGAAGGTTCGTCACAAATGTGGCCTAATACGAAACCATCAGCGACGGCTTGCCATACGCCTTTGTTCCATTCAACCCAAGATTTCCGATCTTTCAGGGAATCAGCATCCTTGATTGTTGCAAGAAACATCGCATGAATCGAAGAATACTCGATTTTGAATCTCGGAGTCATTGGACGAGGTGATGTGGGAGGTGGCTGAAAGTTTTGATAAACAGGATAAGGGGTGTAATACATGGGAAACGAATGTCCTGCTGGCGCGTTAGGCGGCGGAGGTACCCATGGTATATTAGAATGGTTATGGAAACAATGATGATGCTCCTGTGGAAATTCCGACATGATCGCCGGTGCACTCTGAGTCTCCGGAAGGAGTTGAGCAGAAGTAGAAATATGGTCGAGGTCCACAAGACGGTGAGGTCTTGGTTGGTGCATGATACGAGATGGTGTTCGATCGATGATGTGATGATGGTCCATGCGTGAGCCGACGCGAGATGGGAGACGGACAAAAGCCGAAGGGACCGAGACTGGTGATCGTACGAAATTGATAGGTAAAAATGTAGGAGAGTCAAGTGGAGTGTAGGATTCGGATATAAAAACGTTCGAAGAAGGCACTGGAGCAGAAGGTAAAGGGCGATTTTGAAACACGTTCTGGGTTGCAAAGTTGTGAGACGGAGGGGAAAAATTAGGAACAGTATTGGTATGCCAATTCTCGGAAACAGATTGTGGAATGGTCGGGACAGAAGGGAAAGAGGGAAGTGACTGAACATTACTATGATAAAGATGAGAATTAAGTGAATGAGAAGGCGAAAAACTTTGGATCAATTGTCCCGGTCCCGCATCCAACGGTGACGTGGCATGAGTATTAGCGCGCATATATGCTGGTGAATGCTGAGTATGGCGAAAAGGAATCGAAACTGGCGTCTGGTATGGAATCGACTGGGTCCGAGGTGGATCGCGATGAACTGGGATCGTGAGATCCATACGGGATCCCTGATCGTCTGTATTCATCCGCGGCAATGATTATTGGTACCGAAGATTGATCTCGTTAGGCGAGGAGGAACGCGTCACTCGAGAACAGAAATGTTGAGCTGTTGGCTGACTATAGCCACAAAAGCGGTTCGATTTCGTTCAATGTATAAATGACCTAGGGAAAACCCATAACCTCTTGGTGGTCAAACCTAGACAAAGGACAAAAGAGCCTCAGTGAAGAACCAAAGATGGATCTAAACAGCTATATTGTACCTAGACAAAGGACAAAAGAGCTATAAGTAGCTAATCAGTATCTAGGAGTATAGGTATAATGAATGTATCGAGCTTACCCTCAGTGAAGAACCAAAGATGGATCTAAACAGCTGAGGGAAAGCGTCGTGCGAAATACGAGCTAAGTAGTGTGGGTCACGTGCAGCGGAAAGAATCGGCCTAAAGGGAAGAAGTCTTCCAACACTGCCATACGAGAGAGAGCATCAGCTTGGGTGTTTACTCGGCCAGGACGGTGGATCATATGAAAATCAAACCGTGATAGATAGAGGGCCCATCGGGCTTGTCGGCGGGTGAGGTCTTGTGCTGTGCGCCAGAATTCAAGGTTCAAATGGTCCGTAATGATGTCGAATGGTTGGGGGAGTCCTTCTAGGAAGTTCCTCCAATCCTTCAGTGCTTCAATGATGGCAAGCATCTCCCGATCGTAGATTTCGTAGTTCCATTCTGCTGGCTGCATGGATGCCAATCTGAAGGCTACAGGATGCCACTGGCCATCGTCTTGCTTCTGCATAAGGGCGCCTCCTGTGGCAAAGCCTGATGCGTCTACCTTGATTCGGGTAGGCCTGTCTGGTGTCCATAGAGCAAGGATTGGTGCGGAGATGAAGGCTTCTCAAAGGGTGTCAAATGCTTTCTGTTGAGTGTCGGCCTAGGTAAAGCTGGTATCTTTCTTGATCAGGTCGTTCAGAGGTCGTGCTATTCTGGCAAAGTTCCGGATAAAGCGTCGGTAGAAGTTTGCAAATCCCAAAAATCCTCGCAGTTCCCGAAGGTTAGTAGGGATTGGCCAGTCACGAACAGCTGCTACTTTTACCGGATCCATTCTCACCTCCCCTTCTGAGATGATGAGTCCAAGGTATTCAATCTGCTGTTGTTCGAATTCGCATTTTTTGGGCCGTAGATAGAGGTCGTGCTTTTCTAACCGAGTTAATACTTCCTGTACCACTTGTCGGTGTTCCTTGAGGTTGTTACTGAAGATAAAAATGTCATCTAGGTAGACTGCCACCTTGCTGGCTGCAATGAGATCAGCAAATATAGTGTTCATAAGTGCTTGGAATGTGGCGGGGGAATTTGTGAGACCAAAGAACATGACCTTAGGCTCAAACAAGCCTCGGGTTGTTGCGAACGCGCCTTTCCATTCATGCCCCTTCTTAATCCGTATGTTATTGTAGCCCCAGCGAACTTGCTCCCTGAAGTCGGTGTAAGACCTGGGTCAGAATAGGTCTTAGGATAGGTTTGGTATGAGAAGTTTATGTTGTAGCGTGCTAGGAGCAGGCTGGAGCTCGAAGGGAGCTATGGAAACCGTGACCGAGGACGGGAATGACCTAGTAGTGGCTGGGATTGAGAGATGTGACCCTTGAAGGGGTTCCTGTAAGGTCCAGGGAGGTCCCTAAGACGTAAAATAGAGGAAGTGGAGGTACGAAACCTAGTAGCGTTGCGTAGAAGGAGTTGTACTCACTAGAACGTCAACGTGAGATCGAATAGGTCATATAGAGAATAGATCTTGAGTGTATAAGCTCCTGAGAAGGTATACACCCGGAAGGGGAGGTCCCGGGAACTGGGGGTTGGAGGTGGACGTCCTCGAGCATTGGAGGTGGACATCCTCGAGCATTGGAGGTGGACATCCTCGAGCATTGGAGGTGGACATCCTCGAGCATTGGAGGTGGACATCCTCGAGCATTGGAGGTGGTAACGGAGAAGCAACAAGTAGTTCGACGTTACCTAAACTGAGGTCCCAGAGCTTAGGGAGCAATTGGGGAGCTCAAGGAGGTTTTGGGGAGGTTGGCTCACCAAGGCAGTAGGCATTGGGGAGCTTTTAGTATTGTTTGAGGGAGCTCGGAGACTCACTCGGGTTGCTTGGACGTGAAGTTAAAGCGTGTATTGGACCGTATAGATGATCGTAGAGACGATAGACAGAGTTGAGAGAAACAGAGATAAAGAAATAGAGAGTAAAGAGAAATCCGTATGGTTAGCAGGTACAAAGGGACAGGAACTGGACCTATGCAAAAGGGTGTGTGTTCAAAATATACCAAGCTGGGGCTTGGGGACATGTCAGAGCTACTTAAATAGGTACAGGAAGTGGACAAGGGAACATCAGGGGATCTAGTGAACATGAGGTGGTAATCGAGATTGATACTTAATGGAGTTGCTGTAGGGGGTCCTGTATGCGCGGCGGGGAATGTACGTGTGTCGGAATGTACGTGTGTCGGGGAAGTCATCAGGCGCTCAGGTAACGGATCTGTCTTGGGGGTTTACGACATGCGGGAGCTCCTGGTTGGTGCTGAGATGGGTCTGGTGGCGGTCGGGGTATGACAGCGTGTCGGTGAAGGACGTTTGGGTAGGTATATGGTGGTACTTGTGTGGGGAGGGTGCAGGATGGAGGTGCATGATGGTACTTGGGGAGGTGACTTGGGAGGTGTAGGGGAAGTGCAGGAGGTGGATAGAGTGTGTGACAACGTGTGGCAGGTACTGGGGCTGGTCTGGCTGTAGGCAGGGCATGACAGTCGGCTAATGATGTCAGCAACTAATGGGAGGGGATATCAGTTCTTCACAGTATACTCGTTCAGTTTCCGGTAGTCTTGTACAAAACAGAGTTTCCCATCCTTCTTCTTTACGAAAAAGACTGGTAATGAGATTGGTGATTTTGAGGGGACAATATAGCCTTTCTGTAGGTTTTCTTCTAGGAAACGATCCAACTCCTCCTACTCGTTTAGGGACATGGGGTAAATCTTGGTGCACATGGTTGCCGGTGCTCCAGGTATGAGATCAATTGCATGGTCCCAAGGTTGGTGGGCAGGTAATTGTTCGGAGGCGGATTCTGAGAAAACCTTCTTGAAATCACAGTACTGCTCAGGGACCATTTCTTCGAAGGTTTTAACAGGTTTGTCTCGGTTGGCTTCCTCTGCTAGCTGCTGGGAGTAAGTGAATCCTGCGGCACACCAGACTTCCTCCGTCTATTCCTCTAGGATTCCTGCTTTTACCCATGCCCGGCGAGTTTTATGATTGGCTCGGATTCGGTGTATTGGTGGTTCTTCCACCACTGCTGATTTGCTCTCTTCAAGAGTCACTTCCAGTGGCACCTCAATGTGAGGGGGTTCAGCGGGAGGTTCCAGGTTCAGGAGTTCAAGGATCGGGCTTTCTGTGTTAGTGGCGGCTAGATGGGAGTATAAGATCTCCTTGTCTGGGACTTCTTCTATAGTTACTTGAGGGGGCTTTAC